CAGCAGCAGCCCCTCAAGATGAACTCGTCCTCGGATGCAAATCATAGCAGCCAGCTGTTCTGTCTCCTGGGTGTCGGTTACTCGCAGACCCTGAATATTTGCGTCCTGGAAGTGGTCATCATCATTTTCCTAACTGTCCTCATCATTTCGGGGAACCTGGTAGTGATCTTCGTCTTCCACTGTGCCCCCCTGCTCAACCACCACACCACGAGCTACTTCATCCAGACAATGGCGTACGCCGACCTGTTTGTGGGGGTGAGCTGCCTTTTCCCCTCGCTGTCGCTGCTGCACTATCCGACTGGCTTGGACGAGTCGGTGACTTGCAAGATTTTCGGCTACATCGTCTCCGTGCTGAAGAGCGTCTCCATGGCCTCGCTGGCGTGCATCAGCGTGGACAGGTACATCGCGATCACGAGACCCCTGTCGTACAACACGCTGGTCACCCCGTGCCGGCTGCGGGCGTGCATCGCCCTGATCTGGATCTACTCCTGCGTGGTCTTCCTGCCTTCCTTTTTCGGATGGGGCAAGCCCGGCTACCACGGCGACGTCTTCCGGTGGTGCGCCAAATCCTGGAATACAAACACCTACTTTACCTCTTTCATCGTGGTCCTGCTGTACGCGCCGGCCGCCTTCACGGTGTGTTTTACCTACTTCAACATCTTCCGCATCTGTCAGCAGCACACCAAGGAGATCAACGACCGCCGGGTGCGCTTCAGCTCCCAGGAGGGCGAGTCGGGCGACGGCCAGGGCTGTCCGGACAAACGCTATGCCATGGTCCTGTTTCGCATCACCAGCGTGTTCTACATTCTCTGGCTGCCCTACATCATCTACTTCCTCCTGGAGAGCTCCCACATCTACGACAACCCCGTGGCCTCCTTCCTGACCACCTGGCTGGCCATCAGCAACAGCTTCTGCAACTGCGTCATCTACAGCCTCTCCAACAGCGTCTTCCGCAAGGGGCTGAAGAGGCTCTCGGGGGCCGTCTGCGCCTCCTGCGCCCGGCGCGTGGAGAGCAAGAAGCCGCCGGCCCCCACCAGCACGAGGTCCACCAACGTCTGCAACGTGTAGTGAAGGACCCATGGGGAACCCCACTCCCCCCCCTCCGGGGAGAGTCGAGGGTTTCGTGTCTTGGCTTGAGAGCGCTGGCCGGGCCGCCGGAGGAAACCGGACCCTCATTGTTGAGAAGCGGGAGTCGGGGATGGGGGAGGGAAGGAAGGACAGGAGGTTGAACAAGCCCGTCTCGGTGACCTCGTTCGTAGACAGACACTCTCCTTTCTTTTTTTTAAATTAAATAACGTTGCTGCTTCGTGGTGACGGTGTGGCTCTCTCCCTCAGAAGCTGGGCTAGGCTCATCACTGCCGGGCTTTTGTGCACATTTGTAAGCAAAATGCTGAGATCGAGAGCACCCCAACCCGAGACGCGAGTGGGGTAGCCCAGCTTGCCGTGGGCCTTGGGGGGTGGGTGATGGGGGGGGAGAGGCAGGAGGAGTGGGCGCCTGGGTTTTGAGCAAAAGGAGCACATGCAATCACGAAAATCCCTACATCTTTTGCCAAAAGAGCTTCTACTGCAAAAAAAAAAGAGGCAAAAAACAGAAGACGACAATATTGCCAAGCATTAAGTGGAACCACTTCAGTTACATGCTAGGCTTACATGGAATGCAAAAAAGAAAACAAAGAAACAAAAACAAACACAAAAAAATCCAACTGAATTTATAATAAAAAGAGAATGCTGCTTTTCATCCCATGATGAAATGGAAGTGAGTTTAGTTCGAATGTGACCAATTGATGTCTGTTTTTTTGTACGTAAAATGTTGTCAGTTAACTTTTCCTTTTCTGTTTTTTTTTTTCCTTAAGTACAAGAATTTATGAATTAAAAGGTGTACATATACTCAGCATTTTCTCCTTGTGAAAACGTGATTCTCTCTTTCATTAGCAATATGGAGTCCTTTTTCAAAGTTGAGACGTTTCTCTGGGTTCTGTATTTTTTATTTGCATATTGACCCTGGAATCTGTGATTTGTCTGCTCACCTTTTGCGGTAGAATCGTTGAGGACTGAAGTGCCGCGACTATTTAGTCAAATTTGTCTGGTAAAAACGGAAAAAAAAATGCATTGTCCATTGAAAAGCAGGAGGATAGGTAACCTTTAGAATTTTTTTTAACAAACCTCAATGTACAATTTGTTTTGCGAGGCATAACAGTTTAACTGCCTTATATCATAGCATTTTTATTTGGCTGTGATAAAATGTATCAATAATGAGAAACAGTCATGTTTTGCTTGAACTTATAAATATCTGTCAAGCCGGACAGAGCTTGGATATGTATCATACAGGGTCTGAAATTCAGAAGGCTGGTTGTGCTTATCAAATGAAAAGGCTTTTGCAAAAGGAGTGATACTTTGTTATATGCATGTTTGCCACAGTATTGCCTGCGGGGAAAAATGTTAGCATTTTTCCACATTGATTCCCCTGGCGAGAGCCTGTGCGAAGAATAATCTTCCGATTTCTAGGTAAGAAATGTTACCCTTCAAATAATACAATTGATTTTTTTCTATTTCTTTCTCTCTGGGTCTTGTAGCAGTTTGGTAGAGATCAAAGTGAACTAACAGTAGTTCACTAGGCTGGATTTGCAGTTTGAATTATGAATTTTATGATGCTATAAGGTTGCTGCTCTAAGTTGGAGGTTTATAGATGCATGACAAGCATTTACCCAGTATGGAGTTTAGATGACGCCTGTGAATTTCATGCTTACCAGTTCTGGTTCAGGGTAGAAATAAGCTGAAAATCCTGTAAAGTCAGGAAAATGTGGCAATTGACAATAGATGGTATTGTAGGAGAAAACATTGGCAGTTATTTTAGGGTAGTGGTGCAAAATGAGACAGAGACTGAGCTGAAACTATTTCCTGCCTGTTAAAAATGGCTACTTTAGGTCTTGCAGTGATCTTTGTGTTTAGCCACTATATCTGAATACAGAGTTAATAGGTCATGAGCTATCCTTATTATTCAGCAGACACAGAGAGTGAATTTTTTGTGTAGTCTTTATTTAAAAAAAAAAAGAATTTCCAGTTGCATTTATAGTTAATCTGTACATTATCTTGAGGTTGCAAAATGTATAAAATGTCCTCCGTTCTCCAAAGACTCCGGCTATGAAATACATTCATTATAATTGCATGAACACCCAAACAGTATCATTTGAACCAAAATTTCCCTTTGCATTTTTTATAGTCTTATTTTTATAGCCAGAAACTACTGGTCATGTTCGCTTACAAATAGTTTCACTGATATGTTAATCGCTGTGGGAATGACAGAAGTGGACAGCAGACTACAGCTTTGGTTGCTTTACAGAAGTATAATGAGGCAAAGGCCCAACACGGTTATCACAGAGATAGAAACAGAGCTTGACTGCGTTAAGTATCGAGAAACAGTCTGCTTTCATGCAATTTTTAAAAGCGTCTTCGATATTGTACCTAAGAAAAAGTTGCAAGGTTGGAGACCTGAAAAAAAGAATGTACCTCTAGGAATGTAGATTTTCAAGAATTTCTTTTCTGCTCGGGAAAGTGGAGGCAGAAGCTGTTGGTACACCCTCCGAAGAGATGAAAACTAACTATTTAGCTGACAAGGTGATTAAAGGCAGGGTTAGCCACCAGCCTCCTTGCCATATATAGAGAGAACATCTGCTCCTGACATTATAATAAACCCTTCGGTCAACCTGGCAAATGAGAGAGAAAGAAATAACCAGCTGTTAGGTCAGAGCTGTGGAAACGAATTCACTGGCTGGATTGTAATTGATGGCCAGGGGAAGAGGGGATGTGTTCAGGTGTCATCGTGGAGATTGGCGTGTAAACGGATTAATGTCAACTGGCCTTTCAGTTCAAATTGTTCTTGCTAGGTGTCGCCAATTGTGTAAAGGCAGCAGGAGGCCTCTCACCTCAGAGGTCTCCAGGAAACAGCTGCTGACCTTTGGCCTGTACTGAGGCCGATGTACTGTAAGTAGCAAAGGTGACAAGACTGGCACCTACATCCTCCATACCAGAGTCCAAAGTCTGCCTGGTTAGCCCAGCAAAAGCTCGGTGGGAATGTCTAAAAATTGAACTTATAAGGGTGTTGCTTTTTTTTTTGTACTGATGGGTTATTCTGCCGAAGTGTCCGGTGATTCTCCACGTCACTTTTGAACCTCAGATTTACATTCATTCTTGTCACTATTTCTGCGTTGCTCCTGGCAAGAGCAGAAGAAAGCGTTTTTTGTGAAGTAACAGGGTTACAACTGAACGTTCTTAGCCAAAGAGACTGAAGTGTTGTTTTGTACGTGCGCTGAGGTGTGCTCTTTAAACGTTTTTTAACCCTCAGTGCATTTGACACAGGCATTATTCAGGTCTGCTGAGAAGTGAAAGGCAGTTTTCTAATGAAACATTGATAAGAAGCTCCAGTTAAAATGTGTGAATTCTTTATACGTATGCAAAAAATGAATACAAACTTTCATGTTTAAATAACATATAAATTAAGCAGTATTGTTCTGTACTCCTTTTACTTTCCTAAGTAAAATACATGTAGTACGGTCTTCTTAAACACAGTTCCTTTGTTGAAATCAGTTCCTTCAGTGGTACACCTGGATCATTTCTTCACATTTGTGTATGAAGTGTTTTATCAAGGTGAAAAAGGACCCTCAATGGCTAATGTTCACTGTTGTTTTTGGATGCTGAAAACCGTTGCATTGTAGCTATGACTTTCATTTACAGGAGACCAAATGCAATATTGTCGCTGAACACGTTTAGATTTTCAGCATTTGATTAAGGTTTTTTATTTTGGATTTATATAAAGAGCAAATGTACAGAAATGTGATGTCAAGCACCTTTGAATGTGACATACAGGTTATGATCAAAAGGTTGCTAAATATATTCCTTTAAATGCTAATGAATTGATTATTGGCTTTGTCTTATTGTTTAACTGATGATTTGCTCATCATCTGTCCAGGGACTTGTTTGTTTTAATTGGTTTATTTTTGTATTTATCACAGAAACCTTTAGCATGTGATAAATGATATAAGTATCTATATATATATATTTGTAGTGGAACAAGAGAAATAATGATGAATTTTTATTTAAAGTAAATCTGTAAACTAATCACAAATGTAGGTTGATGTTTAGAATGTGCTTTCAGACATTTTTTCCTATTCCAAAATAATAGAGGGGACTGTGCAATATTCTAATTTAAGGTGCATCACACTTTAAAATATACAGTATAAGTAGGCTGTATGTTGTATTCAAGACAATTAAAAACATATCAGATTTTAGGAAAAGGGCTGTTTGGAGTCGGGTGATTTCTCTCTGCGCTGTAATTCAGAATTATCAAGCTGTGTTCTGAAAAATTTGTGTAGCAGTGTTGTCATGCAGAGCTGTAAATACTATTTTTGCAACAGACATTTTGAGTAGCACTCAAACCTCGGAGGCATTTGGTGAGAAAGTAACAACCTGCAAGCAAGATAATACAATCATAAGGTCATTCATTAAGACTGCAATAGCAGTCCTGTTTCTTTAACTTGGGTTTCTCTAAGTAATGTTTGCAGAAACCATTGTATGTCATGCTAAATGTCCAGGCCGTTCTCAACCAGTAAAGCCTGGATTAGCCAAGAATATGAATACATGTACTAAATTGAGTTTTGTCCTTTTTATTTGAGAGGCACTTCACAAAATCAATAAGAAGTTGCTCTGCTGAATTTATTATGTACCTGATACATCAAGAACAAAACCAGTTTTTCAGGAAAATGTTTTTTTTTGGAAAGCTGGCTTCTGCAAACTCATTGATAACGATGTTTCAAAATCCATTTTCTATACTGTGTATTTTGTTCTTTGAAATGGGAGAGATGGACACCGTTTTGACTCCAATTTAAAGAGTAGGTGAGTTAAACTTTGCTCCGGTCATCAAATAAGTAGGTTTAACATATGGTTTGAAACTTTAAAAAACGTATGCCAAGGTATCCAGTAAGAGATGTACTGATGTATTTGCTGTGTGTGAAAAATGTTGTGCCTTTTTTAGGCTATTGTTTTGTATGTAATAGGAGTACTATGAGGTACGAAACTGTTGATGGTACAGCATTTTCACTGATGCATGTTTTGGGACATTTTTTTGCCAAAGACTGAGTGTTTTTTTTTCCTGTGGGAAAATTGTGCTTTAAAAGGAAATTGACTCAACTTAAGGGCTAGCCATCTCAAGGGATTTCCATTTTTCATATTAAGCTGGACCAGAGTGCCATATTTGGATTCTAAGTGATACATAGTCTTCTACATTAATCAAGACGCCGTAAAAAACCACTTGTTTTTACAGGAACAGCATGCTCCCAAGACATTTGGAAAGCTTTACCTAGCATTGTTGACAGCACTTTTAAACATCTGTGTTTAAAGCGCCAGAAATCCGTATCTTTCCATGGGATTTCCGACGACATTGCAGTTATTTGAACTGACGCTTCATTAAAATGATTTGATCGTGGTTTCGACATTTCCGTTTATTGTCCAGATTTTGAAAACTTTTGCCTTGAAATGTCCCAAAATGCAAAGAAACCCTTTGATGCAAATAGTGGTGAAGGTCTTTTTTTGAAGGAAAGCTTTATTCATTGCAAATGGTGGTTCATGCTGTGTGGTGGAGCAAATGTTATTTCTGAATTTAGAGAAAGCGCCAATATTTTGCAGATTGTCTTATATACAACAGTTTGATTGTGTCGTGCGTAAGCACCTTGTTTTTTGTAATGTTGTATTGTTTGTTTTAGAATACAGATGTCTGATATTTATATTGGGTTTTTTTCTGGTCAGTTATGTCTGCACTGAGTCAATAAATGTCGTATTTAATTATTTCACAATGTATTTTTCTTTCTTCCAAAGTCTATGAGCTATTTTGGCAGGTGGCGATGACATCACACTCCTGATAAGGCTGAGAAAAAATTGTGGAACACTGTAAATGATAGTCACTGGACTTAGTTACAAAACCATATCAGAGTTGATGTAGACATTTAGTGTCTATACTTAAGAAAAGGTCAGTCAGTGCAAACACCTTCAAATGATCCTGTTCTGATACATGTTAGAGACCATTCAGCCTGTCTTTATTTGGTTACAAGTTGTTGATTTACTGTTCTTTCCTCAACAACGCCTTGAATGGAACCTTTTAATTTTTAATTATGCCTCCTAGAATCAGCAGCAGATAAAGTGCCTGTTAACAGACAGAAAGCACGTGATTCATTGTTCCTGTTAATTTGAACTTGCCTTTGCTCACTATTAGCTTTCCAGTAATTTATTCAGAAGTACCAGAAAAAGTAGCAGAAAAACATAATGTCTTGGATTATTTAATACATCATAGAAGGTTGATGTAAAAAAAAAAACTGCTTCAGAATTTCTCTGTTTTTAATTAGATCGAATGTGCCCAAGAAACAGCTGCTTTCATAATTGTCACTGGTTATTCTTAGTAGGAATTCTGAGTTGTAGGCAGTCCGAATTCAATACTGATGGTGAGATAGGGAAACGCAGTATTGTACTTTGTGAAGTGTTTTGCTTTCTTGATTACTATGCAGGGACATTGTATTGTTTGGCAGGGGAAAAAAAACCCTCAGAAACAATCAAGTTGCTGTCATTGATAACTTTTATTTCTCCTCAAGTCTTATAGCAGAGCTGTCTTTTTTTTTTTCGGACTCCTTTTCCACACCAGAAACAAAGTGCTATTTTAGCTGTGGTTGAGCCAGAGAACAATGAGGAAGTACAAAGGAAAACCCCCACCTTGTCTTCTGGTAACGAATCAACATTGAAAGGCCTTAATGAGTCTTGATGTCATGAAGTCCAAACATATGTAAAGTCCTGATAACGCGGACGCATAATTAAAAAAAATAAACAGATTATTATCCGAGCCAGAGGACTAGATGGCCGGCAGTCATTTTAAACCGTGGCCCGGGGATCTGCGCTGGGAATTTTTTACCATGCTGAAATGATTTATTTTTCATGGCTGTTTTCCACTGACTTTTCTTTGTTTGTTACTCTTTCTTCCTGTCATTCTTTGCTTTCTTTCTGCTTTTTTTTTTTTTTACATGGACAAGCCTTCCAAAGGGTGTGTGCACGGAGGGGTTCTATGTGGTTCTCAGCACAACATTAGCTTGAGAAATAGCCCTGAAAAAACATTTCTCACAGCAGGCTACAAAAATAGTAGGGAAACGATGCATGTTGGGGGGCGGGTGGGTGGGTGGGGGGATGCTGTATTGAGTACTGGGTGTATTTGTGCTTAACACATCTTGACAGGTTGAAATTGGATCCTTTTTCAACACATTGACTCATCCATTCATTTTCTAACTGTATTATCCAGTGTAGGGTCACAGGAGAAGCCAGAGTCTATCCCAGCAAGCAGTGGGCACAAGGCAGGATACACCCTGGACGAGACGTCATCACAGGGCACACACAGACACAAGCTCGCACACACTCGCACCAGGGCCAGTTTAACAGAAACCAGTTAACCCACCAGCGTGTCTTTGGTCTGTGGGAGGAAACCCACCTGAACACAGGTGATCGAACCCAGGGCCCCAGTCCTGCAAGACAGCAATGCTACCCACTGCACATCACTGTGCTACCCACAACTCACCAGTCCAGTTTTATACTTGCAACAGGTTGTCACAGAATGCTTTCACTGGTATGTACATGGACTGTACAAACAGAGGTAGACAATACAATAATTCAAAATTAAGAAGGAATTTCCACCAATAGGTCAGGATCTCTTTCAATGATCATGATGACCCGTCACCTTTAGGTATGGTGATCTTCAATTTGAATTAATCGTTATGTCTTAATTAAATGCTAGGCTGTTTACGTTTTACGGAGTTTTCCCACAAATTAGTAAGTGAATCCCATGTATTTGGTTGCTTGATTGTTAGTATTATTTTAAAAAATGAACTCTACCATAATGAATAGTAAGTCCTATTTTTCATAACCTCTGTAATACTTATCAAGCATTGGAAACATTTAATTAGGCCTTAATTAGTATATTATTAGTCTATTAATAGAGAGTTTAATCTTCACCGCATATTGGATCTGACATACACAAGCGTACATGAATTGTGTTCTTGTAGAATCAAGCAAACTAATCACTTGGATGTGGTGCTGCTGAATAAGAAGATGGAATTGCAGTGTTGCTAACGCGTCATTTTTGACCCGCCAACTTTTACTGAGCTTAAGCTGCGTCTTTTGGCGAGACGTTCAGCAGAAACATTTCCTTGATTAAGTCGATCCTTCATTGCCAACTTTGATGCCACCCAAGCAGCTTGAAAGACTACCCCCCCCTCTTCCCATCAAAAATCGGTTCTTTAGTTTAAGTGAAACGGTCTTGATCAGCCATCTCCTTCTGCCGATGCACTGTCAGCAGTCATATCTGTCCTCAATCTGCTTTAAGCTGATTAAGGCAAATATCTTCACAAGCTGAGTTTTCAAGTCAGTTGAATTAATGGATCAATCAACTGGAAGGCTTTAAAATCAACTTGAGACAGGATTGCATATCTTTTTCTTTCACGACACACCAGATTCGTCGGGCACTGTAGTAATTTCTGTAAGTATGGAGAGCGCTGTGACATTCCCAAACATTTACGATGCCAGCTGGCCCTTCAGTGCTTGACCTGTGCTGAAAAGTGGGATGAGAGGTGGATTTTTAGTATCTTTCAGATTTTTAGAACCAGGAGGTGTGTGAGCCTGGTGAGTACCTGGATGGGTGACCTCCTGGGAAAGCTAAGGCTGTTGCTGGAAGAGGTGTTAGTGGGACCAGTAGGGGGCACTCACCCTGCTATATGTGTGGGTCCTAATGCCCCAGTGTAGTGATAGGCATACTATACTCTAGAAACGGTGCAGTCCTTTGGGTAAGATAAAACTGAGGTCCTGACTCTCCTTGGTCATTAAAAATCCCAAGGTGTTTCTCAGTAGGGGTGTTACACCAGTATCCTGGGCAAATTTCCCCCCTGGTCTTTACCAGTCATGGCCTCCTAATAATCCCCATCTCTGAGCTGGCTTCATCACTCTGTTCTCCTCCCCACTGAGAGCTGATATGTGGGGAGCGGACTGGCGCACTCTGGCTGCTGTCACATCATTCAGGTGGGGCTGCACACTGGTGGTAGTAGTGGGATCCCCATTACCTGTAAAGCACTAAAGTGAAGTGTCAAGAAAAATGCTGTATATGTGTAGCTGTTGCATTATCTCCCCACTCTGCCGTGGAATAAGGAGTAACTTGAAATGGTGACGCTGCTTAAATGCCCTTTCTTTAAATAAATCCCCATGTATTTCGCGGTTATTTTCAGTTGGCCCGTCGTGGGCTGTGTGATGTGAACTGAAGTCCTTGAGGAGTATGATTCAGACCACCAAAGTGCTTCACTTCTGGCCCAGCCAGGGTCTGGTGCCAAATCGTTTTCAGAGAGAAGGATTAATGACTGCCGAGTGAGACCGCTGCTACCTTCTCACCTCTCTTAAGCCCCCTCGCCACACAACACAACAGCCTCTGGTAAGATGGCATTACAAATGCCTGGCCCCCTTTCAAAAACACCAGGAGAGCTGTAGCTAAAATTAGATGCATTCGGAATTCACTAACTTAGGCTAGTTGATGAACTCCCTCTCTCTCTCTCAAGTTACTCGTAACATCCGTAATGTCACACTGTTTAGCAGCAGATATTTCTTGCATTCGTTTTCATTTAATCAGCTCGGAATGTTCTTTTTGTCTTTGAAAACTGACCCCCCAACTTCCCCAACCACGTATTGTCAGAAAAGCACTTCTTTCGGTTAAGGGTTGTGACAGCCCAGAGCTTGTACTGAAAGCAGGGGTTCCAAGACGAGACTGCACCCCACACAGGAAGCCCGTTGCCCCCAGAGTGCTGTTGCTGTACGTTCCTGAATAGTGGGTTCTGGCTCTTTAGCCCAGAGAGACAATAGGGCACTCCTTTAACCTTCAAACTGCAGTACATTCTCCTGTGGGAAATTAAGCCAGTGAGTTGGTTTCAGCTTAAACTAAACCCAAAAGAAAAAAGTGATTTGCATTTTAATTAGATACCTTGTTAGGAGTGTTTTTGTTTTCATTTTTGTAAGTATTTTAGGGAAACATTTTAGCCCTGATTAAATTGATTGTTTTCGTCTGCATGACTGCATTCGATTAACATATTAAATAAGCCTCAAGTTTGTTTTGTTTTTTTTTGTCTGACCTTCTGCACTTCCAGCCTTCAGCACTGAAAGTTTGCCATTTTGGAAATGGCAGCAGAACACAGTTAGAGTGGTGCAGTCCAGTCGGGGGGGGGTCGGGTCACTGGTTTTGTACCCATGAGCAAGGTGGTTCAGTCCGATTGCTTGGGTAAAAGTTTCTGCCATGCAGATTGGTGCTCTCCCAAGTTTTCACGGTAAATAATTTATTAGCAATTGACTTTTCTAGTTAAATGAAGGATTAGGTTTTTTTTTAACAAATCAACGCAACAACCGAGTAATTAAAATGCACTGAAGATGTGCAGTGTTCAGTGGCGATTGAACTCATATCATGGAAAGCTCAAACTAAAAAATAAGTCAATTATTTGGCATAACTTTTAACAGCGTGCAGTCCTTTCACAGTTACCACAGGTCACTGCCAACACCAGCTAAGCGAATTAATACATTTTAGTTGTACACTTTGGATAATGTCACCTTTTATCCCACCAAAGTTGCTGAGACAGTTCAATCACTTGTCTTCATGCGATCTGTGCAAATCTAGAATGTTTTTTATCTCTTCCAAGTTGTGGCCGTCTTACTCACATGCTTAGATGTGCGCACAGTCAATGGACAAAATATTTTGAACAGCCCCCCCCGCGCACACAGACAAGCGA